ATCCCTGAGGAGAAGAGGGGAGCACAGAAGCGGGGGAGCACGAGCAGCAGCAGCCTTATTACAGGAGTGGGGGGGATGGTTGACGTAATTCGGTTTATCCAAGCAACCAGTCCAGAGTCCAGCGTGACCCAAAGAAATAAAAATATCTACTACCCCAAAACAAAGCAGATGACATCAGTGAAAAAATACTGATGATGAAACACGACTCTGGTTATGCAGGTAGGGAGTGAACCATTTTAGTGCAGGTACAAATATCCTGTGCTCCTGGACCAAATTACCATTTGATTTATTATTTATTACAGTTTTCCATAGTATCAATTCAGAGGACAAGAGAATCAGATGTAAGGAAGACAGCAACACCTGGAAATTAACATTAGGGCATTGACTTTTGAAGAATTTTCAATTTCAGCCAAGTTTCTAATTTTAGCACCCTAGCGATCTTTTATAAGGGTTTCTGGAATAGTCATGTAGTGACAGCATAGAAATTTCTAAGCTGTAGCTTAGAATATGCTTTCTTATGATTCATAATATCAACAAAACTGGATCTCTCAAAGCAGCTGTGTTTCCTGATGTTGAGGGTAATGACATTATGCATAAACTAAAATGAAAATTTGGCACATTAAAGTAAACCTGCTAATTACGTTTTTCCCACTGGGTTTTTTCCCCAAATGTTCTAACACCTACGGAGCATCATCAGTTACACTAGCAGTGCCTTTCATATTAAGCCCTGTATCTTAAGTCCCTCTCAGAGCTGAGAGCTAGAAAATAATGAACTGGTATGATCTCTTACATTAGATCCTTAGGCTTGCACGATTCATCATGTTTTACTCTTCACTTCAGCTTCCAGGCAAGCTCTGAGCTAAAACTTGTACTTAGCTGGAGCATGTTCTTTAAAAGTATGGATTTTCTGATGTGGTTAATATCATTCATTGCTTAATTATTATTTTCAGCTATATTTCACCTGTATAAGTATGTGTTTATCATAAAATGCTGCCTCAAATCCTTTTTAAAAGTGCTTGGAATACAAAGAAATTAAAATCAAATGTTTTCAATAGAAAAAGTGCCAGCCCCCTCAAAGCCCAGAGACCCCATACAGGTGCAGCAACAATGCTCAGAAACCATGCACTGTTAAAGTCACCCTTAGAGTAATCTTTGAAGAATAACAGCCCGCGCTGAATCCACTGCACACGTGCACCCCGTTTATAAATGACATCTACTGATGTGAAGGTCTTTTCTTTTTCTAACATGTTACACCCTCAGGGACATACCAGACTGAACATCTTAAACAGGGGGGGAAGACTGCATTTTAGCAAATGTAAGTATCACGACATAAAGTAGCCCATCGCTGAAAACCAAGGAATTATTAAGATATAATTGTTAAAATTGTCTATTATAAATATCTTTTTCAGAGAACTTTTTAAAGCAGGAGAGAAAGAAGAGGAGATCTAAAAGCCGCACATTTTAGAATCAGCAATAGCACATAGCCGCTTACTAAGTCAATGCGGCAAAATCCAGATGTTCCATCTTTTACGCAAAACTGTTCCTCTTACAACCACGGTTTTCAGTTCAGGGAGTCGAGAAAGACATCAGGATGCCAGGGTCAGGCTAGACCCGTTTCATGATGACTGCTCTGCGGTCTACACGTGGTGGCACCCAGCAGCCTCTGTGTCACCCACACCCCTCTCCTGTCTGCACCTCAGCATCCCCAGACGGTGACAGCCCTGGGCGGACCACGAAGCCACTCTGGGACAGTGTCTGTGGGGCTCACGTATACCGTTCACTTAGGCAGCAAACCTCAGAGATCAAGCAATCCTTGAGTGGTTCCGGGTACTAAAAGCACACGAAGGGATCAAGGAATCTATGTCCTGCTTTTCCTCAATTTCAAGGGGCAAACTGCAGAAATTCTTTTACTACACTGCAGTTCAAAAGCAAAACAAGAATTACATGAGGACTACCACATCAGACAAAGGTTTCCTAACATGATCGCAACAAAACTATGTATCACCTTTATATTAAAAAATAGGATGGAATCAAGCAAGTCACTCACCAGAGGACCTTCAATAAGTGGGATCTGGCAAGTGAGAAATATTTGCTAACGAGGGTGTGAATTTCTGTACGCCCTGACATCTACTCATGCCCCTCGGGGACACGCCAGACTGCACATCCTACACGAAGGGGGAGGTAATGTGCATTTGAGCAAATGTGAGTATCGCAACAGAAACTAGCCCATCACTGAAAACCAAGGAATTATGATAAAAAGTATATGCATAGACTAATTAGCTCAGTGCACCAAATAAAATGAGAAATGGCTAACTGTCCTTAATGGTATTACTGTATCTTGTTGTTTCTCTATAAAACAGAAACTGCTGGAATAACGACGCACTTACAATCACTATACAGCACCTTCACTGAAAGGAGCTCCCGGTTGTCATGGTTCACCTCGAGGCAGATGTCTGTACTCTGTAACACTGGTTTTCTTATTAGTACACAATGTATTACATAGTCAAAAGGAGCCAAAAGTGGATTTTTTAGCACATTGCCTGCACTCAAGAATCTGATTGATGAAAAGCAGCCAACAAAGCCGCATGCCCCGAACAGATAATCCCCTGGAGCTCTCTCGGTCAAGGTTCCCACTGGTCCTTTTTACAAAATGGCCTCCACAGCTGCCAACCTGAACCGAGCATCCAGCGCCTCCCCGGCCTCAGACAGAACACTGCACCGCCGACGTCTATGGCAGGCCTGCGGCTCCCGCATCAAAACACAAAGCGGCCATTTTTAAAAGGCATCTGCTATTTCTTAAAAACATATGTCACTTTGGGCTTTTTTTGAAATTTATAAACGTAATTCAGAACCTAAAAGGTATTATACATTAGATTATTTAGACCACAATCATGAAAAGATATAGTTGGAAAATTTAGGACTTACCTGAGGAAACTGAATTAATAGCCCTAATAAATAGCCAAAAATGAATACAAGTTAGCATTTTGGTATATGTGATTAGATTTTTTAAAATATAGCTTATTGACAAGAGCTTTTTAGAAAATATGTTCTCTGAAAACAATTTAGTATAGCTTCTGCAGAAAATCATTTTTCATTTTGATCCAGAATGCATTTAGCCTAAGTTTCCATTGCTCCCTCGAATTCCTGGACAGCAATTCCAATTATTCCAAGAAAGACAGAAAATGTGAGAAATACAGTCATATATTACAGTGTTTGAGGAGGTCAGATTAATACTTCAATTAGAAGAAATTCAATTGATGACATTATTATACTCTCCCCATGGCTTAATTGTATATCTAACGATTCCAAAATCTCCCTTTTGTTGTCATTGAATGAACCGCACCCTACACATGGTAGACACGACATATGCAAAACCACAAAGATTCCCTCTAAATTTGGCCTGTTTGTGTCGGCTTTCTAAAACACCACGAAAATAGTTAGAAGTTGGATAAATTAATGTTTTTTAGTGTATCAATTATTCTACCATGCAAACAGACCCTACACTGGCTCAGAAATCAAATACCTTCTCAAAGAGACAATGGTAGGGCTTCACATCATCTTCGAAGGAGACTGTAAGTGTGAAAACATTCTTAATAAACTGCACGACCGACCCTCAGAAGACCAGCATGTATCTTGTGAAGGCTCTAATGCAGTCAGTGGCAGAAACACAGCACACGTTGCTTTCACAGGAACCACCTGCCTACGCTGGTCCCATGGCTGCTACAGTGACTACCTCTTAGTTACCAAAGCCCACAAAACAAATTCACCTAATTTTCCTAGAAATCCATATTATTGACCAAAAAAAAAAAAAAAGCCTGTGCCGAGTATATTCATATTGCCTCCATCGTTATCCGAAAGTAAAAGACAACTCAAGGTCAAATGAAAGCGACCAACAACTCCTATTCTTTGCCTCCCGCCTCCCGCCCTGACTCAAGATCCAACACCTTACTTAATCAGTAGAATTTGTACATTCAGATAATTATAAAATAGTTTAAACACATCTTATAACAAATAGGTCTATCTCGTTTGCTTAAGAATTATATTATTTGGGAGGAATGTATTTGAGGAGAAGCTTGTGAGGGGTGTGTATGATATGGTGAGATTTCAATGAGAAAGGGGTATTTAGACCTCGTGGATGATATGGTCTTGTTAGAAGAGAAAATTACCTTTTTATTGTTACCAATTGCTCTTCAATTTTTCTTTAATGAAATTTCACAGCGACCTCCCCAAGAGGACACACTAAAGGCCTTTGATTATATATACCCTAAAGAGTGTGTCCTACCACAAAGAAACACACCCAATAAGATTTTTTTTCATCTGAAATTTATAAAGATAATTTTCCATGCTGACAGTGCACATTTCATCCATAAGTTTGAAGAGTCAAATGCTACCGCAGCTGGGGGTTATTCTGCCAAATGGCTTCCAACAGGGACTGCAGAGATGAGGCTGGGAGGCGTGTGTATGCGCATGTAGGAGAAAGCGACAGACCTGGTGGGAAACAGCCTTCTCTGGAGGCATTTTCATCAATTATCATCTCAGTAATCTAATCTAATGTAGCGTCTAAAGGAAAAAAGCAACACTAGGAAGGAGAAGCAAATATTAGAACAGCTGCTTGATTGCCTACAGAGATTAAAACAAAAAGCAAGGAGTGAGGCTGGTAACATTTCCTAGGGGTTTGCTAAGGCTGAGGGGAGGGGTAAGGGGCAGACACCTTAAAAAAAAATCCATCATGAAAGGAACTGAGACAAGATTATAAAAAAGGGGCCAAGTTATAGCACGCCATGGGATTTTTAATCTGGCTACCTGTGGTTTCTGTAGTTAAAGCCTTATTCATCCCCCCAAAAAGGGGGGTAGGGAGAAAACAACAAAAAAATCACATTTATATGTCAGTTTTGCAAATGATCCAATAGCGTGCACCAACAAGAATAATCAGAAAACATGAAACGCTGATGACTGTTTAAAAATGGATACCCGTTTTATCAAATATCATTGGTAATTACCTGTGAGTCTCGTTTCTTGAACTCTTGGATTTGATTTTCGTGCTCCATATTGGCAGCGCGGAGCTGATTCTCCAGATTTCCGACTTCCCGTTCGTGGTCTCGGACTAGGCTCTCCTTCTCCGCGTTATGCTGCTGTAATAGGTGCGTCTTCTCCTGTTCATGCTCCAGCTTCAGCTCTACTATCTGATTGGACAATGAGGACAGTTCATCAACAGAACATCCTTGTCGTCATGACAACTCATGGACAGCTTAATTTTTCTCTAATTTGCCCAAGTTGAAAATTTTATTTTTTGCGTCATCATTACCTCACCCTTAAAATACTCTCATTGGGTGTGGGGGTGGATTTTATCTAAATCTCCCAATATTTAAGACAGTTGGGAATATTCACTAAATCCTTCTGCAATCTGTTGACACAAATGCCTGAATATTGAAAAAAAAATTATGTTGAATGCTAGGTATCTCCTCCCCAAGAATTTGGGTATCACTGACCAGCAACAGTTGTAAATGGTTAATAGTCAGTACGCTTTGCTTTTTTGCTTAAATACATACATGTAAAAAGCAGCAATTAAATCGGTCTGTTTTCTTTATGGTTTTCAAATAAAAGATTGAAGCTAAGTACGCATCTGGATTATTGTATATACAGTTGTCTTTCTTAAAATAAAATGATAAATCTCAAAGCTCTATTATCTCGTTGTCAGCCACGGGACACCAACACAAACAGATGTGGTGTGCTCTACGGGGCACCTGCTGCGCCGCCAGCCCGCGCCATGATTTCATAGAAAGCACGCCATTCTCAGGGTGCTTTCCCAGTCCACTCCACGCTGGAGACGGTGACCTTGGCCGGTCTGAGCCGCGCCCCGCTAGACTGAGTGGCAGCCGGAGGCCGAGGGCCTGGTCGCCGCAGCTTTGATACTAATCCTCCGGGCCGCACACAATGGCACCCTACCTGGCCCGCACACTATAGCCGGCCAGGCTGCCTTTGAAGCAGGTGCTGAATGGGGACTGCAGGACGCCAGCCTCCCCAGTGAACTCCAGGCCACACAGCTGCGCGGAACAGTCACTTGGATTTTTCTTCAGTTTTGGTGGATTTCAGGGGGAAAAACTGCTGTTATCGAGAATATGTGGCGTTATAGTCGGCGTGAGAATCCATCTTCAAAAAAGCTAACAGTAGGAGCCTGCTCCAAATCGATCTAGTTTCGTGCACTGAATCACCAGACTACCTTATCTTAAAGCTATAGCATTCATTTCTCCAGGCGTGCAGCCTGCACCACACTTCAGGAGCTATTTTCTTTGGAGATTTACCACTCTTGTCCTCTAATTGCAAATTAAGAAACAAAACGCAGATTAAAAGTGCTTTTAAATGTACGTTTCAAAACGTTTGATTATTGTGATTTTCTTTGAGAGTGGGAAAATCAACGATCAATTCCTGACCACTCATTCATTTTTCTACTATTTAGAAGAAAGTGTCCTAATTCTCGAATACACATACATATCGAATAAGATAGCATAGAAAATAATATGGAAATTTTTATTTTGCATCTAAGAACACAGATGCATGCTTGCGAATTTATGTCTTTTAAAAATGACAGATTTTTCTTTCATATTATTCCATTATATGCAATAAACAAAAATATAAGTGTTCTTCTTATATACTATGCCAACTGGAACAGTTTTCTATGATTATTTAAAATAAATGTGCATGGTTGACTCTGTGAGTCACACAATTACAATGTTAATCCCAACAAAAAAGAGAATTTAAAATTTTATTGACATTACTGCATCATTTTCAGGCAGCCAAGTATATGAATTATTGAGTTGGGATATTTTTAGAATAGTCTTGGACACATTATTATTCCTGCTCAGTATTATACTATCAAGCATTATAATAATGAAATTATATATTTTAGAAGATTTAAACATGTAACAAGGAAATAGAAGGAGCTAAAATGTTCTACTCAGATCTGATTCTCAAAAGTCTCAAAAAAAAATGAAGAGAATGGGTGTGATTTAAAAATGATAGAAAGCAAAATATTTTACGATACTCTAAGGAAAAGTAACTGACAGACGTACAATTAAGGCAGAAGAACTACAGAAGTTTTCCCCCAAGAAAAGACATGAGACCGGGACTGGCCGAGAGGTCAGCAGCACTGGTGCAGCCGCACTCCAGGCTCGATGGCCACTGCCCTTACACAGAAACGCTGCGTTATCTGAGGAGTTCCAACAGGCGGGCAGGGATCCTGCTCATGTTCACATTTCAGTTCATTCATTTTCAAAACCAGGCACAGATGAAAGAGAGATAATGGCATCTGAAGCCTAAAGATAGCTGTTCATAAACTAAACTATTCAAACAGTTTGCTCTTGTGTCAGGGCCTGCTGCTCAGTGAGGCTGGTTAGTGAAGTCTCAAGGTCACAGAGCCTTTGCAAGTGAAATAGCTCAGTCCTGACTGCCTGATCCAGTGCTGCCTGACCAACTTCTAGATGTCACAAGCCCTTTGGTTTCCTCACTGTCATCAATTTCAGGCAAGGGGGTCCTCCCCAGATTAACAGTAGAGTCCAGGAGAAAAACCCCAGTGTTTCAGGAACATCTCAAGGGTAATATTCATAACCATGTTCAATGCCACCATCAAGGTGGATTGTGATAAAATTCAGCCCAGCCCCTAAGTGTAGATACATGTCCTTTGCACGTGGGCACGTCTCAGCAGTGAACTGAAGCAGCGTGTCCCTTCACCTGGAGCCACTGCACACGTCTAATTGACCACAGTCGTGTGTAACAGAGCTCATGGTGACTGGGAGGTGGCACGCAGGGACTGTGTGGAGGACGGGACAGCAGTTGACATCCGCAGGGGGAACAAGTCTCAGCAAGGTCTCCATGTCAGTGCTCTGGGAGGGGAGGCCCATCACTGAAGGCCTCAGTGCTCAGAGTGGTGCGCCTGGAACTGGCTGGGCAGGAAAGCACACTGGCGAGTCATCTGGTAGCCAGTCCTTTGTGATCCTGGACTCAACAGCAGGGGGCCGGGTCTGGGAGAGGAAACGGCTGTGTTGCACAGAAACTGCAAGGTTGACTCATAAGGAATCTTCAAACAGGAGACCAAGAAGGGTCGTGCTCCACCCATGACGCACCCCAGCACACTCCGGCCGGGATTCTGAGGCAGCTGAAGGCACGGACCTCGCCCTCGGACTGGATCCTGCCACAGTCTGACCATGGCCTCCTCCCTCCACCAGAGGCTCCATACAAGTGCCTGGGGCAGGAGCACACGCCACGCCTGAGAGACCGGGCTGGGCGGGCTGGACAACCAAGTCTCTGAGGGTCTCGAATATGAACCCTAAGTTCTCAGAACTGTTCTACAGCAAGCTCAGTGTGAGCAAACGCTGCCTGTTACTGTTCAGTCACTCATTCGTGTCCAACTCTCTGTGACCCCATGGACTGCAGCCAGCCAGGCTCCTCTGTCCATGGGGTTTCCCGGGCAAGAATACTGGAGTTGGTTGCCATTTTCTTCTCCAATACTACCTGAAGACCTGTTAGTAATCTTACATTATTAACCTGTTAATTAATCTTATTTTAAAATACAAATGGGATGGAGCAAGTCATCACTTCTCGGTACACAATACATAGAAGATCAACTGTCCCAGTAATATACCTTCAAGTCAGAAATCCTAAAGCCAGAAAAGGAAGTTATAGACATGACAGAATGCACCCAACATATAAAAAAGGAGGAATTACAAATATTAGCTGAAATGAGCTCAAAGTCACCAGATGACACAAGCGCATCCTGCCTTGGTGTGCGATGAGCTGCAGCTGCAGGAGGTGGGAAGGAAGGCCCTCCCTGTTCTCCGGCTCCAGGAGGAGGAGGAGGGGCTGCCAGCTGGGAGCCCGGGGGAGAGCCGCCCTGCAGCACAACCGTCTCTCGGGTCAAGTGGACGCAAGCGTGAGAGCCGGAGCCTGGAGAGCGTCCTGAGCACAACGCTCCCCTGACCCGGCTCGGCCACTGCCGGGGCTGGCAGCAGGAGGGGCGGCAGTCCCCCACGCCTCCGCCGCCGCCACCACACCTGATGCTGGATGGCAGAGGGTCTGCTCCCGTTCCGTCCCCTGCATTGCGGGCTGCTGCCCCCGTTCTACTGGCCTGGACTCATCAAGGGGCCGAAGACCTTCCCGCCACCGCAGCGGGCAGCTGTCGGCCTCCAGCCAGCTTCCTGTCTGGGGACGCCTACATGGCTGGGGACTCAGGTCCTTGTCTCCTGCCTGTGGCCCAGCTGCGCACGGCATGGGATGCTGCACCCACCCACTGCCCCGCAGGCTGCTCTCGGGCATTCTTGCCACTTCCTTCCTCTGGTCCCCACGTCTAAATGTCGCTGCATCCCCAGCTCAGTCCAGGCAGTTCCTCTCTGTGAGTCAGTGTCTGTCACCGCCGTTTGTTCACCTGGTCCCTCAGCTGGAAAACCCGAGTCCCCTCTCTCCTTCACGCACCATTCCACATTCATCCGAAAGCCTCGCCCATCTAACATCAAAGATGAAAGGACACGCTTGCGTAGTGGGCCCTGTACTCAGACGCAGTGTCCTGCTGCGTCTCCAAGCAGTGGTCACGGCCTCACCTCACACTTCGTCCTCAGTCTGGGGGGCTGTGGGCTCCCCACGACCACGGCAGACGCCGCTGTGAACACTGCCACATCGAAGCACCACGCAGTGTTCGCAAAGAGGGGCTGCTCAGTAAACGTGAATTAGGTGATGAAGGACAGGATTTGAGCTTAGACGTTGAAGGAATCTGGAGAGTGGGATCACTGCTGAGCCGTTTCACTACCTAGGAAACATTTTTTCTAGTATCATAGAATAGTTTTTCTATTGTACCCAAGTGCAGAAAGTGCTCAGTTGCTTCAGTTGTGTTCGACTCTTTGCGACCCCACGGACTGTAGCCCACCAGGCTCCTCTGTCCATGGAATTCCCCAGGCAAGAATACTGGAGTGGATTGCCATTTCCTCCTCCAGGGGATCTTCCCAACCCAGGGATCAAACTTGAGTCTCCTTTGTCTTTTGCACTGACAGGCGAGTTCTCTGCCACTGTGCCACCGGGGAAGCCCTTTTTAAGATGAGGTATCCATAAAATAAATCATCTTCATGTGACGGTCACTGAAAAAAAACCACATTCATCTTTGCCCCCTTCAATCCCACTCGAGGGAAAGGTGCCATTT